ATTGAGATATCTGTATAGACAAATGCGACATAACATTTTTAAATGCAATAACGAGAAATGTCGGACGAAGTACTTCAAATGGTCCTAACGGCTCACATTTTAGGATCCACAAATATTGCTTCAAGTTAAATAAGATTTAAAAGGCAAAATTTGAGTCCTATGAATATATTTCTACCTCGCGCAATGCATATTTACAAACGATTTATTTCAATTTGCATATAAATTTAAGTTCTTTTAATAGCGTTAAACATCGCGATTGTGATATATAAGCTTCACCTAACTGAATCAATTTGCAATTGTTCAAAGCGAACCTATGCATATTTAAGTTTCATAAATAAAAAAAGAAAACAAAACAGACAACAATGTGATATTTATGATGTTTTCTTTCAGTCTTAAGTTTGCTCAACAATCTTTTAATCAAATTTGGACAATCTTTTATACGGTCAATAATACTGAAGTCAGTAATATTGAATCAGAAATGCTGACAATATGCATCAATACTTTTACAATCTTACATGATCTTACATGATCAGTATTGCTGATAATATTTCAGCTCATTCTATGTAGATTACCTAATCTAATCTAGAGGGAAAGAAAAAACAAAAAATAGATATATCAAAGCTTTCAAATATAGTATAAAAATATATATACTTTGACATATTTATTACTGTAGAGTTGTACTAATAGAAATACTGATTTGCTCTCCTTATATAATCAGTATATCACTATCAGTATATCACTACCAGTATCACTAACACATAGTGATAGATACTAATGCTCGAGAATCAAGAAATCCAGATTACTGTCAATATTCTAGATCAATCCATCAATATTGACATAATCAATAATATTGTCAATATTTATTGATATTATTGATAATATTATTGACCGTGTCAACATCTACATTATATCCACATTTCAGCAATATAGATTAACTTAAACTTTGATTTAACTTGCCTTTTTACTTTCTGACTCTAAAAGTTAGAAAAAGATGAAGACAAGTTATAAAGATAAATTAAACCAAGATTAAAGTTAATGGACATTAATAGGCGCAAAAGACATATACGCATTGTTTATACAATGAAAATCAAAATTTATACGAGTCTTCTAGAAGCCCAGAGTCTTCTAAATTTCTTGATTCAGAGCGCGCGAGTTAGTTTCGTCGATTTTCTCTACTTTCTGTTTCACGGAGTCGATCGGTTTGGCTTCTGAGAGGCTGCTCGTGTATATGACCTAAAAAAGAGAGACGGGTCCGTCAGCGAGAGCTGGCCGAAACGAGACTTACCCAGAGTTGTCGAACGCAGAAAGGGGCACAAGTGCGTCCTCGCGCCGTCGGGCACATATCTGGAGGGCTGAGGAGACCAAGCCGCGCTCTTCCGAAGGTTCGCGTCCTCCGGCGAATTCCCGTCTCACTTGTACAAGTTGTTTTACTACCGTTGGCGAATGTTTCTCTCTTAGCTGCACTTTCTATCATCCCATAATCTTTTCCTTCTCGGATTAATCCGGTGGACGAAAAATGGATCGATGGATCTCTCGATGCTCCTCGACTGCGAACACTATTTTCGTAACCGATAAAACTCAAGAAAGATAACAATTTAACGAAGGGTAAAAAAAAAAAAAAAAAAAAAAAAAAAAAATTAAAAGCGAAAATGTTTCTCGTCTGACTTCACCGTTCGTCAATCCGAATCTTTGAGAGATTACTCTCGAGATACTCGAGAACCTGTTGAGACTCGAATCAGGATTAAGGTACTTCACTTTGAACGAAACTGCGGATGATGTTCCGTTATTTATTTCGGCTTCCGACGCTCGCGAGATCACCAGTGTCTCGATTCGCGACACGGAGAATCGCTTCGTGTCCCCGCCGCGACGCGCTCGGTCGAGTCCGAAGGAGCGCGAGGAGACGGCGATTCAGAAATTCCAATTTAATCCAAAATCGAAATCAAGGAATTCAATGCTGTCATCCAAAGACATCCGAGTAATCCGAGGACGACGCCACTGTTTCGTAGCGCGCGTTTAAAGTACCGCGAGGTCGACCGACGAGAGGGCGACCGTAGGGACCGTGCGGACCTCTCGACACGCGCGAGCGTGGAACTATAAACACGCCCGGGCCTTTAAAAAAAAGTCCCTCTCGCTCTTTCTCTTTCCCTCTCTCGCGCGAACGGCACGGTCAGCGGGTCGCGCACGATCGCCGCGTTGCCGATCCGATCCGAGATGCGCGGCTGGGCGCAGCCGCGGGAGATGTCTTCGCGAGATTACGCGCAGATATATCACACTGGACAACGCCACGGGTCCATTCGAAATGCATTCGCGCACACTCGCGCGCGCGATTCGCGCCACGATTTTTCCGAATCGCGTAGCCGCGCCGCGCCGCGCGCGCGCGCGCGCGCGCGCGTGTCACCGATCGACCGAATCGCCGCCGACGTCGCTTTTCGGCAAGCTGTCAATTATCGCTAACACAGTTGCCGCGTTTATGCAGCATCTCGGGATCCGACCACTCTCGGTCCAGAGGCCGCCGATGAGGAGGAAACAAAGAAAACAAAAAATATCCGCGCGAGACTCGAGTGAATCGCACGTCGCCATCTGCTGGATATTTTCGAGAAATTTCCACGCACGCGAGTTATCGATTGTCCGTATTGAATGTGAGAAATTCAATATTTTTTTTTTTTCTTTTTTTTTCCGTCGCCGTTTGTTGTGTTTACGAATAGGATTCTATTAAAGATTTCCGATTTCGTGAAAATTTTTGTATCTCGCGAAAATGAAAAAAATGGAAAAAGAAGATAATTTCGCCGTATACTAGCGCCCTCTGATAAAGTCGCAGATAGAGTGAAACAAGTGAAAATCGCGGTGCTTGATAATCGCGTTTGGCAAAATAAACAATTTTGTTTGATCTAGATTACTAGGTTATAAATTATTCCGATATTTGCTAGCGAACGATTTTCGGAAGGAATTTAAAGAAACGAAATTATCATTCAAGTATGAACGCTCTACGTTCGTGTCTTAAAACTGTTATTCTGAATCAAGGAGTGCGCTCTATAAATTATCAAGGTTAGATACGTTATGGTGCATGTTATCTTGTAGCAAATTTAATTACATCAGATTAGTTCATATTAAAAGCTATATATATGAGATTATCGAAATATATACATAAACATTTAAAATTATATAAAAATTTAACAACGATTTTGTTACGTTGTTTAATAAAATATTAATGATTTTATTAGCAAAGAAGCTATATTATGTCATTGTATTTAGATATTTTATATGTAATCATTTTTAATATGCATTATTTCAATATGACTATCAAATTTGATAAATAGAAATCAATGTTGTTCTCTTTTTTCATAATTTTTTCATATAAATCTTTTGTATACAGGACAGAGAAATATTAAAAGATGGGTAGCACCGACACAAGTGGAGATAACCAAACGTAAGAAGATACTAGGCTCTCAACCAGAACCAAAACGTAACACCTTTTTGGATTGGAATAGATCTGCAGAGATCTATGCATTTAACGTACGATTATCTGAAAAATTTGATACAGAAAAATTAGAGCAAGCTTTCACTCATAGATCATATATTATTCAAGAGGAACAGAGGATGAAAGAAATGGGCATAGAAGATCCTGTTCTTAATATACATGATAATACTGAGCTTGTTAGAAAAGGTGAAAAACTTACAGCAGAGATTGTGCAGAATTACTTGATGCAGGTTTTGCCACATGCATCTGAAAATGTTATAATGTATGTAATATCAGGATTTAATTATTTAAGTACTATAGATATTTATAAAAATTGTGGAATAATTAAAAATTGCCAATCAATGCTATAACATTTTTCTGATTTCATTTGTTTAAAAGAGTTAAGCAACCTGATTGTGCTATTTTTTTATTGATATAATAGAATATTACTGCAAATATATCAATGCAAAAATTTGATAAATCCACTTTGAGTTGTAATCTACTAACATATTATGATAGAATTCTCAATTGAGTCTACTGAATTGCTATAATGATTCATTGCCATAATAATTTTTTACAAACAATAAAAACACCATTACATCATATAGTACTCAAATGGTTAAAGAAATGTAGATTAAGATTTAAATTATTGTTTAATAGCTAAAATGTATATAAAATATAAAAATAAATAAGTAATCAATGTATTAAATTGAGATAAATTACAAATAATAAAATAAGTGATTAGTTGCTCGAGAGATAGGATCTTTGTGTCTTATAATTTTTCTTATGTTGACTTTATATTTTTATTCTAAATTTATATGAATATAAATTCAACAGAAACTAAGAAAAATTTTTAGACACAAAGATCTTGTCTTTCAAGCAATGTTATATTAATTGTTGTACTATTGTACTATTACAAGGATAAATGTTATACATTATGGTACTTAAAATTAATTCTATTTTGTAGTTCATTGTATGACTATCTTCTTTCTGAAGAAATCTTGGCCAAAGCAGCTCTTCATATCGGAACGAAAGATATCATCTTAACAGAAGTAAGTATTGAAGTATCTAATATATGAGTGTGAACTTTATATTTCAGTGCATTCTAATATATCGCATAACAAATCTTATCTTTTTCTTAAATTAAAGGTAATATTTAAATTATGTTCCTAAATTTTAATTCTTTTTCGGTTTTTTTTTTTTAATTCTTTCAGGAACATCCAGTAGCTCAGAAAACTTTAGCCGATACGTTTTTAGCGCTCGTCGCAGCGCTCGAGGAAAGCGTTGATGTTAATCACACAGCAAATTTTGTTAGAGATTTCTTGATTGTTATATTGGCTGAAAAAGATTTAACAGAAATATGGAATCCATCTCAGCCAGTGGAACTTTTAAATGACATTTTACGGAAACAAAACAGATCACCCGCTGAACCAAGACTTATTGGACACGCAGGACAGAATACACTTTTAGTGACATATCATGTAGCGATGTATTCTGACAAACAATTTCTAGGTTCAGGTAAAAATAATGTTATTTATAAATTTCGTTATTTCATCTAACTTTACATATTTTTTATATACTTATTTTTTTTCAGGATTTGGTCAAACCATTCAAGAAGCCAAAGATGTAGCTGCCATAAATATTTTAAGTCGAATATATGGTCTGTCAGATTCTAGTAAACCGATTCAATTTAACAAAACAATAGATTTATCTTCGTGAGCGATGTAAACTTAAAAAAAAACATAGCGCTAACATTGAAATCATTTTTCTTGTACATATTAAAATGAAATGAATAAATACATATATAAATATAAATAAAAATCCTTGATTTTGAAAAATCTTAAAAATCTTAAAAATATATATAGTGTTTCACGAATTTCAATCCATATTTAAAAAGTCAGTTTTATACATCATTTTAAACAAAAAAGATATAACAATTTATTAGTTATTTATGAAAATGATAACGAAAATATATTATTATTGCGTTTAAGTTTTGTGAATCTGAATAAATATCTTTTTTTGTTTCTTGATTTCCTTAATTGTTCAAAAACCATTTTTATTCTCTTTTTTTTTTTCAAAATAGTTCAAAATGAGAATTAAATTTCGTGAAACATGCTGTATATAATAAAAAATGTAATGTTATAATATGGCATTCTTGATTTTAAACTCGTCATTGGCTGATTTCTCTGCGCTGATTTCTTACGCTGCAATGGAGATTTATCTAGATAAGCATTTAAGGCTAATCTACATGATTTGGGAGTCCATGGCAATTGGTTGGTTCCTCGGTGCCAATGGAATTCACCAATGAGCATCAAGTTGAGCTTTATGAAAATTGGACGTGACGATTCTTGATGTTCCATTCCGCGAGAGGGCACCAACGACAAGGAGAACTCGCGTTACATCCTTACGTAAGCTCTTCTACTCTATCTGATCTTAGTTGACCGAAAACACGCGTGTTGGAGATGCACATCGAGAGGGCCGGAGACGAGCCTCTCCGGATCATGCGATCTCTTGTCGGCGACCAGGCTCTGTATTCGGGATTTCGATTAGAATCCAACTTTCGAGTTTGCACCACGCGAGTTGGAAGCTCGCTCAGGCTCGAGTCACTTTCGACCCTTTCGACCATTTCACTTTCCCGAATTTTTCCAAGTCCCATCTCACCACGAAATCTCTCCACGTTTGGTCTCGAGTTCTCGTTTCTCTTTCTCTCTGCGAATATACGTGGAAATTCGATTCGTACAATTCACGCGCGAACCATCGAACGTGACAAATTCTTGTACTGGCGTAACCATGGCGCCGAGCGAATCGAGCTCGCAATTTTAGCTGTGCCGAATTCAGAATTCCATATCGAAAATTTCCTTTCTCTTTTCTTTCCTCGCGGTGTGTATATCGCGTAAGAAAAAAAATAGATAATCCTTAAAAAATATCAGTAGGCTGATAACTCTCGATGACGTTTAAACCGAAATTAGAGTCCGATTGAAGTCTCCTCTAGAATCGCCATGCCATTTTCTGAACTGCCGTGACGGCGACGGATGCCCGACGGAATGGACCTACAAATCGCGGATTGCTTCGTCGAATCGTTGAATCCGCGCGGCGAGAGTGTGATCGATAGAAAGACGAAAAGAAATGCCTGCGCGCGAAATAATAATCGGAGCTTCGGTATGACGATTTCTGGCGGATGACTCCGAAAATGCATTTCCGCGAGATTGACTCGCGGCAGCTCGCGGCGTCGATGCGGCCTTTAACGATGACTGTGCCGATACTCTTGTGGAAATGATGCAACTAATGGGAACTAACTATTTCAGCTGCTAACGCACGTAGCAGCGTGTGTGCCGAGGAAGGCGAAATGGTGTTTATCCGTTCGCCAGATGTAATGGTCGTTTATTAAATGACATACCGACGTAGCAGAGCGGCGTATCGAAAGTAAATAAAATTTTTCTCTCGAAAACTTCGATGACAAGCATTTCGATATCCAGTCTCGTATTTTACTATTTAAACGCACAAAAGATCCCAACGAGAAATTTTTTGCGATTGGTTTATCGCATGTAGTCTGAATACTTTACGGCATTATGCGAGTTTTACGAATTTCATCGAAACTTATTCGGATTTATCAGTCTCGAAGCAATTTGAAATTTGTTCCGATTAAAATTGAGATTATTGAGAAATAACTTCTTCTCTCGTAATAATTTTAATGGGAAAAGTCATCATTTCGAACGATTTGATTATAGATACATTTTTGCGATACATTTTTTTTTCCTAAAACTGTTTTTTTTCATACTCGCGGGTAAAAGCGTCGATTAACACGCCGCGACCCCACGTCGGTGCGTTTTTTTTGTGTTGCGTGCGAAAAACGTATTTGAGGATCAAATTTTTCATCGGGTGATCGGGTAAGCCCCTGACATTTTTCGTCGTCGTAAATGTTCTCGCTGCCGACAGAATCGTCGATTCTGTCCGTGATCGTGATATTTCGTATCGCGGACTTTCGTGGCGGCAATAAATTAGGAAAAAATGAGTGAGTTGCACACCTTGATAACCACGCGTCGCGATAAAGAAATCGGAATCGTCGTCGTGGTCGTCGGTATTTCTGGCGGTAAATCTCGAGTGACGGGATCCGGGACTGGTCCCGGCAGTCGTGGCGAGCGGTTTCGCGAGCGACGACGCAAACGCGAAGACGGGAACGACCGGTCCCTGGCGTCGCTCTCGCGCTGCACACCTCGTGCCCTGCGTTTCTTCAACGACGGAATTTCCCGGGAACGGACGGTGAGCCGCCATTGGCTCGCGAACCGTTCCGGATCAGATTTCCGAAAGAATCGCTCCTTTTTAACGAACCCCGCGTGATTTCTCGCGCGATGCAAGTTTTGCCGGGGCAATTGTTCCACCTGATAAGAATGAGTTATTCTTCCTTTTTTTTCTTTTTCGCGGACGATTATCGCATACGTTCCCCGTCTTGTCGTTTTCAACGCCGCTCTCGCCTCGTCGGCTACGCGTTGCGAAAGATAGCCACGTTCGGGCCAACGTCGCCCAGCAGCGTCATCTCCTTATACGGGGTGCCGAGAAATTACATACACGAACACCGCAGAGGGGTTGCATAGAGGACTAGAAAACGCGGAAGATCCCTGGCCTCGCGGCTCGTCAGCTACATTTTTATAACAAAAATTCAAGTATACGATAAACCTTATTTCTCACATAATTTCACGTGAGGTTTAACATAAACGAAATGCCAATGTGCTAAAGTGATTTATATCAAAAGATTTAGAAAGCGTGAAAGAGATGATATCCGATCGAATCTTCGCAGAGGGAGGAGCAATCGCGAATGGGGAGATTGTCCAGCCTCTCGTGACACTATATATTGCACCCGACATCCTTCATACAAATTTCCATAATATTTTCGTTTCTTAATATCGCTCTTTTGTCACGTACAATTACTCCAAGGAAAATAAAAAAGTTGACGCGTCGGAGTAAAATTGCAACGCGAACCAGTAATGCTCCTTCCACCAATCGTATCTTTCTTCTTTAATTTATTTTTAACGATAAAAATAGCTCCTTTTATCGCTGCTTCTAATTGATGCGTGTGTTCCTGTCTAAAAACGTTTTGACGCGCGATCGTAAATGCGAAAAGTAATATTTCCAGGACGAATGGGAAACGTTACATCGCTAACGGGAAACGCATATATCGGCGGCTCGACGGCGACGCGTAAAAAAACATTCGCGAGGAGCACAAATTTCTGATGCAATCTCTCCCACGGCTAAATGACAGAAACGAAACAACGCAAGTCGAGTTTTACGAACTTTGGTACCTTCGATATATGTAGACACCAGACACATTTCGCTCGCGCTTGTGCGCGTGAGTGTGATGTTTAAACGTCGCGTTTATCGCGACTAACTTCATTTTGCGCTTCATGTGCATCCTGAAGTTTCGCGCGGGAGCCTGGAATCCGCTTCAACTAACGAGAGATTCGGAGATAGATATCCATCTGTACTCCGCCCCCCCCTCCCCCAAAATATTCCGTCGATCGTAAAATCGAAAATTATATATGGACTCGCGCGAACAATAGCGAATTGCTTTCTCATTGTTCTTTATTCGCAAGTGTAGTGGCTCGTTGCCCATCGGGCCACATACGCGTTTCCGCGTACGGTAATTTAATAAAAACGGCAGTCGTGCTAACGTCGCGTTCCTCAGAAACGAGGCAGTGTCGCCGTGTCGCAAACTACACGCGCAATTAAAGCCTGAAATCATACGGATTGCGAGCTCGCGCTCGTTAGTTTATCGCCCGCGCTCGTGCGCGACGCGCACAACTTTTACGTCCAGAAAGAAATGGACCATGTACCCTCCTCCCTTTCCCTCCACGAATAATAACATAATCCTTCTCTCGCGTGAACGCGCTTTTCGTATTACACAACGTATATAATTCGATAGAGGAAACGTCGCGTGTCGCCGCGCGAAATTCCGAAATTTGCCGAGAGCTAGAAACGGTAACGGGGTCTAGTCGGAAAATAGGCTCAGCACGGACCGGCCGCGCGCGTGGTTCAATGCAATCCGAAATTTTTCTATATCGGTCGCAGGTATAATATTGATTATTTATGATCCACGCTATCCCCTTTAAGGTGGTTCATCCTTGTCCCCGTCCGCGCACCGTACCGCCCCGCGTTGCCACCACTACCGCCAGTCGCCGCGCGCTCGTCCCTGTCTATACCCGCGTACCCGCTCCTTCTCCCGCGCGCACCCCAACCCCTTCCTCGTCGCCATCCTTTCATCGCTCTCTCTCTCTCTCTCCTCCCCTCA